GTGTGTGTGTGTGTTCAGCTGAGATAAAGCACTTCATTTAAATCCCGTCTCTCTGTTGATTGATGCTTCACGGTCTCGGGGGATTTTTCTACCAGATGAGCTTTGATTCAGATCCATTAGAGTTGATTCTTTGAGGTCAGAGGTCAAAGTGTTTGCTTCAATGTGAAGCTAATTTCTGACTCCGTGGATTAAAGAGCTAAGAATCTATATCAAATATAAAGGTAATAGATAAAGATGAAAATGTATTTAACATTTTCACTCATTTCTCAGAAGAAAATAATCAAACATGTTTAGACGACTGAATTTATCCATTAACATAGAAAACGAACAAATTCAGTATTAAATCAACAGACGAGTTCAGCAGAGCTCACATCTAATACAAGTAGATTCATGAAGGTGAATTGAATTAGACATTTCAAATAGCTCCTCTCAGTGGATCGGAGCCGGTGACACGTCCTGAGATAATGCGACAAAATAATATTTATCATTTACAACTTTTTCTGAAATGTTCACGTCTCCTGAGAAAGTGTTTCTTCAGCTTTCTGCCGTGTGTTTGATTCCACCGCAGTGCAGAACCTCCCTCAGAAATCTGCCCACTTTAAACGCTCCCTCCTGGTTTAGAATCCACGATGACGTCACCGCTGCGTCTCCGGTGGGAAACGTGTCCACTGGGTTTTTATTTGTTGTTTTGACATCAACACGACAACATGAATTACGACGTCCACGGGGTTTTAAACGTCGTATTTTCCCACAGACCAGAAAAGCTGTGTTGATTGTTTGCAGTTTGGTGGAAGCAGCTCATGTCTGTGCAGGTCTGAGGCTGATAAGACTCCGACTGGAGGATTATGGTAATAACAGGCGGCCCCTGACTGACGGCTGGGTCCCATCACCACAGAGTGGGTGGGCGGGCTGCGGACGCTTATCAGTGTGTTGCAGTGGGCGATTCTTCACAGTCACGTGACGGGCGACACCTTGATTCACACTGCAGTCGCACAAACAACAGCTCAGCGATTTTATTACAAAACGAGGACCTGATGGTCCGTTTGATTGTTTTAAAAGCACGAGTGATTCCGTCAGTCGCTGAAACGTGACCGGTTGGAAACGAAGGGTTCGGACCAGCAGATACCATCAGCACTCGTCACTAATGAGCCTCTACCTTGGTGCGAGTGCTGCATTGTTCCAACGCTCGTAAAACAAAAACGTACGTAACCAGTCGTCCAGAGAAAACAATCAGAAACACTTTCGGGTAAACGGCTGCTTTCGTGTGGTCAAAGTCGACAAAGGAAGCATTTCTGCGGCGCCATCAACTCATCAGATAAGAACGCTGCTCTGCGGCTGCTTCGTCAGAGCCGGTGACCTTCAGGTTAAAACCTGGTCCCTGAACCGGACTCAGTTCTGCTCACATGAATGTTTCTCTCACTCACAGTCAGACTGCAGAAAATAAAACGCTTGGTGCTTCTCTTCCAGGACGCAGAATGGGATGAAACTGTATGTACGGTTGCCAAGGAGACGGCAGGCGGAGGGGTAGTTAAAGGCTGTTAACCCACACGCCCGTGTTGTCATTCACACGGCTTCTCTCCATCCTCAGGATTCACTTCAGGAGACGCTGCCGGAGACACAGCACAGGTAAGAGGTTCCCTTCAACTTCACCCACAATTCATTTCTTCTTCTTCAGAGTTTGAATGAATCAGAGGAAATAACTTTGCTCTGCAGTTTGTTTCATGCAGTGAAAACAGCGGAGTCGAGGGACGCTGCAGCTTTAAAAGGACATAATTGAGTGTCAATGATCACCACATCAGCTGCAGAGTAACTAATGCAGGCAATCATCCAGCGCACACATGTTCACGCCCCCCAAAACACAAATCCAAAAACTCAGAGGGAACAGCAGCCTCAGCTGTGCGTCCGTCACGCTCCCACGCTCACTTCAATTCTCATTTCTCCTCTGGTTGCAGCTCGCTGGAGCCTGTGCTGAGGAATTATCTGCTGTCAGGACCCGTTGGGACGCTGCTGTGCCAACAGGGACTGGAGCGGGACGGTGGAGCTGAGCCATGCTGTCCGCCGCCATTCAGATTCTGGCGTTTGCCCTGGCGCTCCTGGGCGTCCTTGGCGCCACCGTAGCCACTCTGCTACCCAACTGGAAGGTGAGCATCAACGCCTGGTCCAGCATCATGACCCCCATCTCGCAGATGCAGGGTCTGTGGATGGACTGCGTCTGGTACAGCTCCGGCGTCTTCAGCTGCACCATGAAGAACTCGGTGCTGTCGCTGCCGGCGTACCTGCAGACCACACGGGCTGCAATGGTTCTGTCCTGCATGGTGGCGTTGTTTGGACTCTGCCTCGCCTCCCTGGGGCTCAAATGTACCCGCTGGGGGGGCGACCACCGGGCAAAGGGGCATACAGCCATCGCTGCAGGGGGCTGCTTCATCCTGGCCAGTTTCCTCTGCCTCGTCCCTGCGTCCTGGTTCACCAACGAAGTCATCACAGTCTTCCTGACCACGGACCTGCCGGACAGCAGCAAATATCAGCCTGGAGGAGCTCTGTGTGTGACGTTCATCTCCGCTGGTTTCCTCCTCGCTGGGGGGGTCATTTTTTGTTTGTCATGTCCTGGAAAAAGAACGAGACGACCGGACTACACTTCCTCCGATGGCGGTGACAGACCTGTGCTGTACTATGACGAGCAGCGGAGGCGGGATCAACCAAAAAAAAGACATAACAAAAGTGTCCAGCTGCAGATGGACGAGGCGAAGCAAGAGAAACCTGAGCAGGAGCAGAGGCTCCACTCGTCTCCTCCGGAGGACGTCAGGGACAGCTACAGTCTCCAAGAGTATGTTTAGTCCTCAACCCTCAGATTCTGTGGCTGGAGGGAAGACGCAGGGCAGCTGGGGGACAAGTGTTTGACTGATTCAGTCCAATGTCTCAAAAATGAGACGACAACAAAAGAACACGGTGGAAAAATAAATAGACACGACACCAAACACTTTCACAAACCAAAGGTCTGAGCTGAAGCTGCAGGTCAGAGAGAACGAAAGAGACAAAGAGAGAGAGAGAGAGAGAGAGAGAGAGAGAGAGAGAGAGAGAAAGA